CAAAAATTAGTGACTGCCAAAAAGGGAACTTCCCCCCACCCCATCCCCCAGAGAGCAGGTTGTTAAACATTGATCAGCACACCACTGGTGTAGAGTATTATGTAGTCTTCTTATATTTACTCTCCTGTGGTGAATCTGCTTTTAGAATCTTATTGACAGAATTAAGTGGAGTAGGCTCATAAGTCTTGTCTTGAAACAGATGCCTAAGATCCTTATAGCTACGGCCAATTGTAGCATTAAGCAACCTGCAGCCCAGGAGGAGGCCTTCTTGCCACAAATAACAGGTTACAAGAGGACTGCTTGAATGAACAAGGATATTATTCAACAAACCCTTATTTAGCAGCTAGTATGTGCAGAGTTGTGTGCTAAAGGGCTAGGGAAGATCATCTATGCACTCAAGGAAGTCACTGTAGAGGAGGTGACAGAAAATCTGTTGATGATCCATTGTAGTAAGTGCTATCATGGAGAAACAGGAATATGGAGGAGAGAGACGCTAACTCAAGGACCATCAAAGAGGTTTCAAAGAGAACTCTAAGTTGTACTCCCCTCTATCTTGTTCTCCACCATATCCCTCAAACCTAGCACTGCGTCTGGCACAGTGTTGACACTCAACAATTGTTGCGTGAATGAAGGAGTTAGTCATTACCTTGGCCCTTGAAGAATAAGTAAGCTTGCCAGACAGATAAGAGTGAATCCAGGCAGGGCCTCCCAGGCAGAAGACATAGTCTGTGCAGAGGCATGAAGGGCAAAGAGGTCGGTGCATTTGAAGAAAAGTTTAATGGGAGCCGGGTTTGTTAGCTCAGTCTGTAATCCCAGCGCTTTGGGAGGCTGAGGTGAATGGATTGCCTGAGCCTGCCTGGGCAACTTGGTAAGACCTCATTCTACAATAAAATAAAAAATTAGCCGTGCGTGGTAGTGCACACCTGTAGTTTCAGCTACTTAGAAGGCTGAGGCAGAAGGATTGCCAGAGCCCAGCAGGTTGAGGCTGCAGTGACCGGGAGCGTGCCACTACACTCCAGTCTGAGTGACAGAGTGAGACTCCAACTCAAAAAAAAATAAAAATAAAAAATAAAAGGTTTAATGGGGTTTGAGAGGTCTGGGAACCCAAACTGGCAAAGGTGAAGAGGGGTTCTCTGCCTCAAATCTCTGTAGAACTCTCAAAAGACAAAAGGAATTGACTTGTTTCTATATAACTCTAGAGACAGCCTGAGGGGTGATGCTGAGAGTCACAGATAATCTATTTTCAGTTTAATATAAAAACTTTCTAACAGAGCTGTCCAATCATGGAACAGGCTGCAATGAGTGGGTCCCTTATGAAGGAAGAAATGAGCACGTTCCTTATAAAGGAAGCAAGCAGATGCCAGATAAACTCTTGGTGCAGTAAATCGCTGTGGTAGATGCTTTTTTTCTTCTGACTAGATTTTGGAAGATTTTATCAAGTCTCCTTTTTTAAAAAGGATATTAGATAATATATGAACAACTAACTTCAGTAGCAATCCTACAGAAGACACAGAAACTTTTCTCAAGTGTGTGTTTCTTATGCTGATCATTGACTAAAGCTGAAACCAACAAAGGTGCTGAAGGTTCTCTCATGAAAGAATGTCTTTTCCCACCACTGAGGTCTTCATTCATTCACGTAGCAGTTATGTATTCAGTATCTTTGTGCGTAAGGGACTTCACTAAGTGCTAGAAACACAAATATAAATAAAAAAAGAACCTACACTCACAGTGCAGGGTAAACATTCAAATAAATAGTTACACTCCAATGGCTACAATGCAAAGTACTGTGGAAAACACAAAACCCATTTGTCTGGGGAAATCAGGGAAGCCCTCAGAGTGGAAGTGACTCAGAACTGACTTTTGAAAAGTAAAAAGGAAATCACTAGGTGAAGAAAGAGAAAGAGTCCAGGCTGAAGAAAAACATATGCGAGGATATGGAAGCGTGACAGGGTGTGGCCTGTTTGGGGAGGTAAGTGGTTGGTGAATGTGGGGGATGGGTGGCAGTGGGAGAGAGCAGACCAATGTGCAAGGTCTTCAATACATGCTGAAAACTTTGGATTTTAATCTATAAATGATAGGACATCAATAATAGATTTTAAGGCCAGGTGCAGTGGCTCACATTTAGACTCCCAGCACTTCGGGAGGCTGCAGTGGGAGGATTACTTGAGCCCAGGAGGCAGGAAACAGCCTGGGCAACACAGTGAGACCTCATTTCTACAAAAAAATTAGCTGAGCGTGGTGGTGCACACCTATAGTCCCAGCTACTTGGGAGGCTGAGGCAGGAAGATGAGTTAAGCTCAGGATTTCGAGGTTACAGTGAATCAAGATTGTGCTACTGCAACAGAGCCAGACTCTGTCTCTAAAAAAAAAAAATTAAAATTAAAAAATAAGAGACTTTTAAGTGAGAAAGTTACATGATAGGTTTGTTGGTAGAAATGATCAGCACAGTTCAGGCAGGTGTGAGGAAAGTGGATTAAGGGGCCCAGACTAGAGGCAGGAGACCTGTTGAGAGGCTGTTGGAGGTGGGGTGTGGTGGCTCATGCCTGTAAACCCAACACTTTGGGAGACTGAGGCTGGAGGATTGCTTGAACCCAGGAATTCCAGATCAGCCTGGGTGACACAGCAAAACCGGGTCTCTATGAAAAATAAAAAAATTAGCCAGGTGTAGTGCCATGCACCTGTAGTCCTGGCTACTCTGGAGACTGAGGTGGAAAGATTGCCTGAGCCCAGGAGGTCGAGGCTGCTGTGAGCCATGACAGTCATGATCGGGCCACTGTACTCTAGCAGCCTGAGCCTCTTCAGAGGTTTCGGCTCAAAAAAAAGAGAGGCTGTTGAGAAAGTCCAAGTACAGAATGGAATGATGATGATGATGGTTTGAGCTCTGGGGATAATGAGGATAAAAAGGAAGCTTGGGCCGTAGAGACCTTTTCTAAAGCAGAACAGGCAGGATGTAGGGGAGGCCTATTTTAATCCACCTCCTCAAGTAAGATGCACAGCACATCTTAAACAAAGATGGAGAAAAGAAAAGATCACTGTCCCAACTCCTGGGTTGAGACTGTTTATGCAGTGGAGCCCTCAGTTTAACTCTGAGCTCCCGGAAAGCCAAGGCAAAAAGAGAAGCATGATGACTTCTACAGCTCTCATTCTCTGTTAAAGTAGACTCAAAGGAAAGGAAGGGCCTGACCAGGTTAGAGTGGGAGAGGGGACTTCAGAAGGGCCCTCGGGGCAGATCATGTTTGTCCTTGATTCTGAGATTCTGAGAGCCCAGAGGAAGGACAGTTTCTGGGATCCCTGGTTCCTTCTACTGCTCTCTGTTGGCTGGGAGGTGGCTGGGGTGGAGAGTGCTGGCAGCACCCTTTACAGACAGCCAGTCACAGGGATTCAAACTTGGAAGTCTGATTCTCTGCCAAAGCGAGCTGTTCCTCCTCTCACCCCTTCCCTCTTCTCACCACCCCCCAGTATTCTTCCTTCAGCCCTCTCTGAAGTCTCCAGCAGCTCTGCAAGAGAAGCTGGACAGGTAGTTGAGGTCCAGAGCAAGGATGGTTGAATTTACTGGAAATGGCCCTTCATGCTAGGGATTGAGCCAGAACAGTGACTCTGCCCTTGTGTTCTCAGAGCGAGGGCATTTCTGGTCTGGACAGAGCTCGTCATTCTCTCCCTTTTAGGACTCTATGGGTTCATGCCCTCATTCAACACAAGGTATGGAGCACCAGTCACAGGCTGGTGGGTGTCAGGGCCCTGCCCTCAGGAAGCTCACCTTCTCGTGGGAAGACAGCCCTTGACAACAGTTCTCCTTTAAGATGATTGAACGAGGCCATCATGCTCAGGGAGGTGCAGGCCTCACCTGCAAGAGCAAAGGAGAGATTGTGCCTTGTTTTGGAGTGGGAGGTGGGAAGCAGAAGGCTTCCAGGGGAAAGGTTAGGGAATCCTGTCGGCTGGCTTTCAACCTGGGGATGGTGCAAGGGGACCGGGATGGGGGGTGGGGGGGAGCACCTGGAATCAGAATCCCTTCTCTTTGGGGTTTGAGGGCTCCGACGTTACCTCCTTTCATTACCTCATTTCGTCTCAGCCACAATTGTGGGTAGAAATTAAGCACATTTTTTTAAAATGCCCATTTTAGAGCTGGGAAAGCAGACTCTCAGGTGGCCACAGCCTGAATCAAGAAGGGCAAGTGTCCCGATTCCATCCATCTGCCGAGTCTGGGAACGCACCGCCGAGCTCCCCGCCCCAAGCTCTCCGGTTCCCGCAGCCCACTTCCCACCCCGACCCCGACGGCTGGGCCCACCCCATCTGAAAGTCCCACCTGAAGTCTAGCTTGGCGGGGCCCTCCCGCACGCGGGCGTCGCGGGGAGTCAGGGGTTAAAGCCCGGGGCCGGGGCCGGGGCGGCCC